ATATATTTATTAATGTTATTTTTTCATTTGTTATTCTTCTTTTGCTGACTTACAGCATTTAGAATCTTAGTAACTTATCAACTTATTTGAGAACTTTTTGTGTAAAAAAGTCATGTACCTTTTTAAGTTTTAGGTACAAAAATGTATATTTGTTTAGTTTTTGGAAAATTTTTGGTACACATGTTCCAAATTTTTAAGTCGTCAAATCCATTCTCCTTTTTATTGTATTTTTTTGCCATTACTTTCAGTGCAGTTTGGACTTCTTTCTTCACTGTCACTGGTTCTTGATCTTTCCTGAAATTGTTCAGCATCGATAATTTTTAGAATGGTGACTCTATGTATTCTTTCCATCTGTTTTTATGTTTCTTAGAGCGTTAAATATTTTACCTATGAACTTCTTCTGTTATCTCTCCAGCTTCTAGAACTCAGAACCTTCCTGAAACTAATTTGGGTCAGGCATCTTTGTTTCCTGCATCTCCTGACTGTTGCAAAACCTAGTGGAATTTTGGAGGGAGGAAAATTTATCTGAGGTGAAACAGCAGAAGCGATAGTGAGAACAATCCAGCTTCCAGAGCCTAGGGTCTTTCCTAAAGTAATTTGAGTGGAGGGTCTTTGGGGTTTTTTGTGGTTTTTTGGGGGGGAGGAGGGTCTTTGTTTTTGTGAGACTGAGATGTCAGAAAAGACTCTAAATATTATACTCAAGTGCCATGAATCCAAAAGAAAGGGAAGAAAGCAGGAAATTAAGGAGCTGAGCAGAATAGTTCAAAAGGCAGCTTGGGAATACAGAGCAAATTATTATAATGAATTGTGCAAAGAGTTGGAGTCCGAAAATCAAAAGGGTTCGAATTCACTTGGCATTTCTTAAGCAGAAATTTCTGTCTCCAAGTCCATACTTTTGACTGGCATTCCTTCTTAATTGTTACCAGCTTTTGCATTCCACTCACCAGTTGTCATTAATGCATCTTGGTTGAACGTTAAACTGCAAAAGTTGGTAAAAATCGTCAATTTCCTCCTCTTTGACTGTAGCTGTTGGTGTGTATATTTGAATAATAATCTTATTAATATATCTTGCTTGTGTTTGTATGACTGTATTATTAACAACACTCACAACATTGTACTTCAGGATTGAATTTGCAGTTTTCTTTTTAACTATGCATGGAACATCATTCTTCCTTTGTTTTTCATTCCCAACATAGTATGTGATTGTATAATTGAAAGCGGCCTCCAGTACATTTCATCTCACTAATCCCTAGAATGTCAATGTTCATACGATAATTTAATTTTTGACAGCTTCTACTTTTCCTTCATTCTACTGTGTAGATTCCATGTTCTAGCTAGTAAACGATGTTGCAGCTGTTCTCATTTTGATTGCCTTCTAGTCTGGGCTCTACATGCATTACTATAGTTCCTCTTTTGTTCATAGTGTTTTCAAAAGCCTGCTGTTGGAGAAATGAAAGACAAGTCCTGCTTCCTATTTAGGAGGCTTCCAAAGGATGTTATAAATAATGACATTTTGTAATGATTATTATTGTTATGAAACTAAATGGTAATTATTGTTACAAGTGACTGAATGAAAGCCAATAAAAAAGTCTAACTTTTCCTCCTTGGTCATTCATTAGATTTAATGAGCTTGTGTTCTTAATGAGTCAGATTGAGCCTCTCTTCAGTGTTTCCTAAGTGAGCCAGCATTCATATGTTTTGATTTTTTTAAAGAATTTTTCATGTTAGTTTGTAGAATTCCTTTATTAAGGGCAGTATTTTTTCCCTGTTTGGTTATTTTGTTTTGTTTTTTTTTAAATATGTAGTGGTATTTACCAAGAAGACATTGTTTTATTTTTATATAGATGGATTAATCAGTCTTTTATGAACTCTGCCTCTTATGTAATTTGAAAAGCTATTTCTATTTCAAATCTAGGATTATAAATTTTTTTTTTTAACTCTTAATAAAATCACTGTGACTCAGTCAACTCAGTCGCAGTCGGTTTGGATTTGGGTTTTGGTTTTTAGTAATTTTGGGGTTTGTTTTTTTTTTTTTAGTAATTTTTGATTATACATGGGTTTCTTCCAGGTAGTTGTAATTGTCCAACATTATTTATTGAATATGCCAAATTTTATCAGTTCTCTTTTTATCAGGTACTACATTTCCATGTGTGCTGGGGCTGTCTTTTAAACTGTCATATTGTTGTTGTTATTATGTGCCTTCAAGTCACCTGTGACCCTATGTACAGCAGCTCTGAACCCTGTCATAATTGCTGTCAAGTCAGAACTGACTCATCACTGACCCTTCAATGGGTTGCTGAGGTTATAAGTTGCATAGGAGGAGATTGCCATCTTTTTCCCACAGATCCCGCTGGTGGGTTCAAATCACACACACATACACAGATGTGTAATGTTCTGTGCCAACACCTTGCATCTTAATTTAAGTAATGCTCTAAATATTGTTAATTTCTTACCATGTTTATGGTAAAGAGTTACACTGCCAGTCCTGAGGCAAGTGATTGAAATCCACCAGCTACTCTGCAGTAGAAAGATGAACAGTTACCTGTGAGATTTATTGCCTCTGAAAACTCACTGGCAGGTCAGCTGAGTCAATTTCAACTTGATGGTGTACAAAAACAAACCAATAACATGTTTAGGACAATTCCTTTACTTTAATAGCATGTTATTGTTGCCTCCCATCAAGTCAGAACCAATCCATAGCTGCCTTTCCAGTGGGCTTTCATAGACAGTAAATTGTTTAGGAGGTTGATGGTCTTTCTTACGTGATGCAGCTGATGGATTAGAAACATACACACTTTAATTGGCCACGCAACTCCTTACCACTAAGCCTCAAGAGTTCTCTAGTGTTGTAAGCGCGTACTTTTAAAATCTCAGAATCCCTCCAGCAGGTTTTCAGGGGTAGTAAATTGCAAGGGAGGAGATTCTCTTTCTGCCTCGGAGTTTATGCACACAATGGATTGAAACCATGTGCCTTGGGTTAGCACAACACCTTACCACTTAGCCAGAAGAGCGCCCTTTGACTACCATTGTTGTTAAGTGCCATCAAGTCACGGGCGACTCGTTGTGACCCCATGAACGAAAAGTCCTGGACACCTGTATAAATTTCGTCCTTTGTCCAGGTTCATAGGGTTTCCGGAGGCAAGTTAGTATGGAAATGGATGCTACTCCTGCTTCCAAGCTTATTTTAATCAGGGAACACCACCGAACACTGTCCACTATGGGTAACCATTCTCACATTTGACTCATCAGTGTCACAGTGTTCGGCTTCACAGCGATCACGAGTAACCTCTGTACAGCCAGTGGACATACAAGGGTTATACGACCTAGAAGAATGTTTCACCAAACACACTTAAAGGCAGGCCTGAGGGCCGCGGAGTAGTCACCTACCTTAGGCTTGGGAGCATGGCATTTCTGTCTGCTAGGCCAACTGCCCTCTCTCTATATGCTGTTGGTGGTGGTGGTGGTGTTGTTAAGTGCCATCAAGTCATTAGCAACTCATAGCAACCCCATGAACGAAAGTCCTGGACACCTGTATAACTTTTGTCCTTTCGCAATGCATAAATATTATGTGACAGGTTTATTTCTATTATCTTTTCAGGTTCCTTCTGATCAACCCTTACTGAAAGAAGGAAGTAAACGTGACCAAAAGCAGGCATCTGAAGAGGAGTCAGTCAGTATCTCTGAATATTTCTTTAATGATATCTTTATTGAAGTGGATGAAACAGAATAAAAGGGTTTTTTGTGGTATGTTTTTTTTTTCCATTCAAGCATAGGATTTCCAGAGTCAATTATATCAACATAGCAGTATTTAAAAAGAAACATCACTGTCAATTTTTATTTACATTCATTTTATGAGCCTGGTTTAGAAGCTTTTATAATCAGTGGGAAACGTCCTTTCATTCTGATTAATTCTGCATTTTGAAAATGCCAAGCAATTAAGACTGCTTTCTCAGACAAATATCGTACCTCTTGTTTACATTTTGACTCTTCTGTGCTGAACACATACGGACATTTTAGAATGTGGATAACTGTATCTTTGTATAAATCATAGTATTGATGTATCTGGAAGTTGATTGTATTTAACATTTATCAAACATTTTGTAAAAAAAAATTTTTTTAAATGATGAAGGCCTTTTTAGTTGCCTTTAAATATATGAAAGTAAATTGTGAAGTCCCACTTTAGTATGGTAAATGCTAAAAACTTTTCTATGATCAACTGTTTGTTTGACTGACTGAAAAATATGTATTTTTATAATTCATATTGATGTAACGTTGTCCTAATTGAAGAACTGGTATTTAAACTTATTATTTATAAAATGAAACATCAGAGAGCTTATTTATTTTTAAAATTTTTATTTAAAAAGATATCCATTTTAATTATTTTCATCTCTCAGATCGTGGGTAAGAAGGCATTAACAAATTTATGTTTGTCTCCTTCCCCTCTTTAGTTTTAAAAAGTATTTTAAGTGATGTAACTGAAAATATGTAGATAGTGTATATGTTTTGAATACATTTTTCTCATAGCTTAGTGAATATGTTTTGAACTGTGAATTTTTCATGGTTTCAGTTTGTTTTTATAATCTCAGGATTTGCATGGGGTCGAAAAATCTTGTGTGACGCAAATTTATATACAAAATACAGTCTTGAAGAAAAACTAACTTCTTGCCTATTTTTCCCCATTAAATTCTGCATAAAGAACTTTTAAACCTTTAAACACATAATTATGATATTAAAAACAAGGTAAAATAACAATGAGTCTTGATAAAATTGATGATTTACACATGTAATTCATACCAACCCAAGCAAATTTTCAGTAACTCAAAAGAAAGTGGTGAAATTTGTCAATTTTATTTGAAATAGCTCCTGGGTTCACAGAAACCATTCTATCAGGAGTTGGAAACTTTTTCTACAAAGTGTTTTTGGCTTCTGGGACATGTGGTGTTTGTAGCAACTGCTTAAACCTGTCATCATATTATGAATGCAGGAATAGACAATACTTAATTAAACAAATGGGTATGCCTGGATTTGACCCTTAATTGGCTGACACCTGCATTAGACCGAGATTTTTTTTTACTTTATGGTGCTGAAATCTCTGAGTTGTCATTGAAGTCATGAGTTGTGCCTAAAATAATATGACTGCATTATGAAATTATTTGTATTTCATTTGGAAAAATATTTTAAAATCTAGATAATTGTTATTTATTTTTTAAAAGTTGTCTAGTTTTCAGATTTGTCAGGAAAAGATAGTATGGATCTGCAAGGTATAAAAGTAATGCTAATTTATTGAAATTATTATTACTAGATCATTGCTTATTCATTGCCTCACAGTGAAATGTAAAAACTTTTAGGTCACAAAAGAAGATTTATAAATCTGGGTAGAAATTCTCCATAGGTATTCATTTATTTATTTTGTAATTAATATGTCCAAAAAAAATCATGGGTAGTAAGTTACATTACTATCCTAATACTCTATTTTTGTAATTTAAAAACAAAACTTCATTCTGAAAAAAATTTCTTTCTCTTAGTGTTAATTTTAATATTACCACAATCAAAACTATTCATCCATTTCTTATTTAAAAGCTTTTAAAAGAACACTTTGTTCCTTTTTGCCACTTGTATATCTACAGTAAATTTTGTGGAAAATGTCATTTCTTAGTGAATGAAGAATGGTTTTATCTTTGGTGTTACAGAATCAAGTCAGCCAGCTAAATTATTGTACTGTTACATTCTTAAAAGTAATCTTGCGAAAAGAGAAAATCAGTGTACCTTACAAGGTGGGAACACTGTTAATGCCTGTGTTCTCTTTCTTTGACCTGTCCTCCTGAACACTTCATGTCTTAGCAAATGATCAGCTTGATGGTTTCAAAGCCTAAGTGTCAGCAAATGATTGAGGGAGGCATGGATAAGAATATTAACGTCTACTACTTACCACTATGTTATTTCAAATAGAAGTGACCATGTGTAGTATCTTGCTTGAAGTTTTTGACAGTAAAGCAATATCTGCCATTTGTGAATTTTCTTGTTCCAAAGAAAGCGGTTATGTTCCATAGTTATAAATAATGTAAATAAAAGTTATTTTATACCATATTTCTTCTCTTTTTCTTACTTTTTGAAAGACTAAATAAAGATATATATATGTACAATTAACTGAAACTTTTTACTGTTTTTATCTACAGTTTATATTTGCTTTCTTCGCCTCTGAAAAAAATGTAGCAAATAATTCACCTTTATTCTTACATGATTGCTATAGAATTTAAAAAATCTTGCATAATTAAATAAATAGACCACACCCCCCCATTTAGAATAGAAGAAGAGTTTATTTTTGTTGTTGCTCTTTTTTTTTTTTTTATGATAGTGTATATGTTAGAATGGGGAGTTATGAGTGATTATTCCTATTTTCTCTGTTAATTTTTAAATTATTTTTAATGAAAGTTTACAGACACTTTGAATTTCCAGTTAATTCATTGTTGTACTTTTCTCCCTGCCCACCCCTCTCCCCCCAATTCACTCTTCTCTTTGAAAAGTAAAAGAGAAATTATTTTTATACAATCCCTCCCCCCAAGTCTGCTCCAGTATGCAGCCTTCATTCTGGACTCCTGTCACAATAATACCTAATCATATATATCCCTTTTAAACAGTTCTCTCCCTCATCTGTTTCAATGTAGTATACATTATTTATCCCCTCTCTTCTCAGTCTTCCCTCAACCCCTATGTCAGTCTGGTTTTACAACAGTGGCATTATGCAGCATTTGTCCATCTGTGACCAAAGTACATCAGTCATCATAATGTCCTCCAGGATCACCCATTTTGTATAATATTTCATGAGTTCCTTGTTTTTCAATGTTGTGTAGTATTCCATTGTGTGACTATACCAAAGTTTCTCTATCAATTCATTTGTTGATGGGCACTTGGGTTGTTTACAGCTCTTTGCTAATGTGAACAAAGCTGCAATAAACATTGGTGTGCATATATCTGCTTGGGTGGTGGTTATGTTTTCTTTAGGGTAAATTCCCATTGGTGGTATTTCTATTTACAACTTTGTGAGAAAGCGCTCTACTGCCTTCCATAGTGGTTGCACCATGTTGCTCTTTTTTAAAATGACTTTTTAGGTATAAGAACTCAATTTCTCTTGATAGAGAAAAATGAGGAACAAAACGCAAAATCATAAAATAGACCAAAGTTTAGTGGACCCCTTCAGACTGTGGCGTTTCTCACTCTTCAAGCCTACAACTGAAATCACCCCATGATTCAATCAATTTCTAACTATAGACAGGCCTGTAAGAATCCTGATGACACTACAGACGAGCACACTCCCTGGAATGGTCAACCATACAAAATTAAAGAGCGTTGCTTACCCAGGGATAAAGCCTAGAAAGGATGAGTGGCAATTTGAAACATAAAGAGGAATTGGGAAGAGTGCTGTTCCATTGTGAGGATTGCAGTCAATGCCAGAAGTATATCAATTGTTGAATGCAAGCAAATTTGCTCTCTAACCTCTTAGACAACTCATAATAAAAAGTTAAAGCAGGCGTAAATAACTAATGGTGATGAAGTAGAGGAAGGACTCAGATTCTTTTATGGTTTTGTTCATCTCCCGTTGTTTTCTGTAAGACAGACAAATGTGAACTTAATAAATAGAATGATGTACTTACTAAAGCCAGATATTCACAAAATTGTGGTCAAGATATTTACCTCAGAACATTAGTATAGCCATTTTTGCAGATTATAAAAATTTTTGTCTTGATTTTTTATCAGACCATCAACAAACTACATTACAATATGTGGCTGCATTGTTTCATCATCATGTGGACATTAAATAGTCCAACAGCCTAGAAGAAATGGTTATTTTACTATAATCATACAGACTTTACTTAGGGAATCTTCATAGATCAAATTAAGCACTTAGATGCTAACAAAAAGTTTGGTTCGTACCTACACGGTGACTCCATGGTAGAAAGATGTGGTGGTATGCTTCTGTCTAGATTGAAGCCAAGAAAATTGTTGGGCAGTCTACTTTGTCACTTGGTAGTGTGATGAGTCAGAATTGATTTGATGGCACCTAACAGTATTTTTATATATATACATATATAAAATGAGGACCTATGGAAAATAAAGATTTTTACCAGTAGGCTGATTGGCAACATTGTGATGAATGGTGAAGAGATTGAGATTGTAAACAGCTTTAGTTTGCTTGGCTCCACAATCCTCTTGGCACCAGCAGCCAGGAAATAAAAAGATGTATTGTGATGGGAAAGTCTGCTGTCAGAGGCCTCTCCAAAGTATTGAAGAGTAATGTTGTCAGTCTGGAGACTAAGGTGTTCCTGATACAGGCCATGGTCTTTGCAGTCACTTTCTGTACATTAGAGAGCTGGACAATGACTAGGACTGATAGAAGGAGAATTGATGTCTTTGAGCTATGGTGCTGAGAAGAGTATTGAATCTACCATGGACTGCTAAGAGAACGAATGGGTTCATCTTGGAGAGGGTGAAGCCAGGCTGCTCCTTGGAGGCAAGGATTCTGAAGATTTGTTTGACATCCTTTGGACATGTTGCAAGGAGGGACCAGTCCTGGGAGAGGGACAGTGCTGGAGAGGAAGACATTTGATGAGATGGGTTGATTCTGTGACTGAGGTAATGGAGGTAGTTGTGTCAGAGACAATAAGATGAGCACAAGATAGAGCAGGATTTAGGGCTGTTGTACATAGGGTCACAATGAGTCTCAGGTGACCT